GAAGCACAGTGCTTTCTAAATCTTCTCTACTCCTGCACTCCTGCACTAAACAGCTTCTCTCTTCCTTACATGTCTGAGTCATGGATTCCCTGAGTCAGGATTACCTTCTGACATTTTTTAATGGAGGAAAAGCCATATTTATAGCTAATGAATAAAACATCAGCCAACTCTGCTAAGTACTGACAGTGTCAACTGCTGCCCTAGGATTAAACCTGCTTTGCTCACAGAAACACTGGCTACTTAGTTGGGAGGGATGCCAACCAGCTTGGTTTGCATGACAAAGTGATGACAAAAAATAGCCTCCAAAGAGCCACATCACTGTTGAGTACTAATGAGATATTAGTATTTTAGAGACACCAAGGAATGGAAAGGCCAAATTGAAGGAACTAAGATTCATGGAGCATCTTCTGGGTGCTCCATACTTTATATTATTTATCTCATTTAGTCCTCCTGATAACATAATGAAGTCAATACTACCATAGTGCCCATTTTTCAGTTATGGATATCAAAGTTCTGGGTTGTTAAGTGACTAGCCCAAGGTCACTAATAAGGAGTGGAGGAAAGATTTGAATCTATGCTAATCTGACCCCAGAACCTGTACTTCTTATACAATTCAGCCTCTTACATTTAGTATACAATATGAAGAGATCCAGAAATGACAGATGACTATTATAGGTATACTGAGCTCTTAACAAGATGATTAAAATAGGTATCCATAGAAATATAGCTAAAACAAAAAGACTTTTTTTTTTTTTTTGTAAATGATGGTTGAAAACAATGAGAGTTTTAGTTTAGAGAAGAATGTAATCTTTAGATGTTGTAAGAACTGTCATGCAAAGTAGGGGTAAAGGTAATGTCTGTTGTATCAAAGAATAGATCTTGGACAGATGATTGAAAGTTTAGGGTAGGAGGGTAATTTTTCTTTTTTTTTTTTTCCTCAGATCAACTTAAAGAAAGATATATTTTCAAAGAATTTTATGTGTGTCTGTATATAGGGAATTTTTTTCTGATTTGCATACCACTGTATTCTCAATGTCTAAGAAGCACTGGTGGTGCAGTGGTTAAGTATTAGGCTGCTAACTGAAAGGTCACTATTTCAAAATTATCAGTATTCTGCAGGAGAAAGATGAGGCAGTCTGCTTCTGTAAAGATTTGCAGCCTTGGAAACTCTATGGGGCAGTTCTACTGTCCTATGGGTCCTATGAGTTGGAATCAACTCAATGGCATTGGGCTTGATTTGGTTTGGTATGGTATTCTCATTGTCTATAACAGTCCCTGACTGGACTGAGTGGATGCTCAGTAAATGCACTGATGAATAAAATCTATCCCAATGAAGAAAAAGCACTGGACTGTTCAGGTATTGAGTTCCCTCCCACCAATGGATTTTTGAAGAGGCTAAACTTCTCCGTGTGGATTCTTGTACTTGATGGGAGATTATGTAATAGCCATGATTTATTGAGCACTTTTTAGATGTACTGTACTAAGCACTCTACAACCATAATTCCATGTAATCCTCATCACAATTGTATAAATTAAGTTCTATTGATATCTCCATTTCATAAAAGTGGAAACTGAGGTTTACAGAGTTAAGGCATTTGTCCAAGATTACACAGCTATTAAGTGGTAGAACTTGGATGTCCACTCATCCATTCATCCATCGATTTACTGAACTTCAACTATATGTAAGGAATATGGTCATTTCTAGGAACAATATCCTACCCTCACCCAACTTTTAGCTTAATAAGGGGAACAAATGATTAAATCTATTTAAATTCTATCCATCATTTAGAACACATCTCAAGTTCTTTCATCTTTCATGAAGCTTCCTTTATTTTTCTGGTTCCTCTTTATCACATTTGTGGTTCCCTCTTACAGGACTATGTCCCACCATAATTGATGCACAAAAAAGTATCATCTTGGATGAGGTTCAGGTTCTAAAGTCAGGTGCTGAAGGAGGGTATAGGTAAAACTACCCTTGTAAATCCCTTAGGAAGATGACACACTGGAGATTGACTACTGCCTCCAGTAGGTCCACCATAGCAAGCTTATCCTCCATGGTGAAGCAAATTGCTGTCACTTTAGTTAAAGTGTCCAATCAAGAAATCAACTTGGTTTAGAGCCAATTTGTAGCAAATCTAACACAAAAGATCTCTTAAAGTTTTTTAAAAGCAAAGATGTCACTTTGATTTCTAGGTGCATCTAACCCAAGCCATGATCTTTTCAGTTTCTCATATACATGCAAAAGCTGGACAATGATAAAGGCAGACAGAAGAATTGATGAGTTTGAATTGCAATGTTCATTAAGAATATTGAATATACTGTAGACTGCTGGAAGAACAAACAAATCCATCTCAGAAGAAATACAACCAGAATTCTTAAAAGAGAGAATGGTGAGACTTCAGTTCATTTACTTTGGACATGTTATCAGGAAAGACTAATTGCTAGCAAAGGACATCATGATTACTAAAGTGGAGGGGCAGCAAAGGCAAGGGAGGCCCTCAGTGACTGTACTGATACAGTGGCCAAAACAATGGACTCAAACAAACCAACTCATGAAGATGGTAAAGGATCAGACAATGCTTCGTTCTGTTAAACATAAGGTCTCCATGAGTCAGAGCCAACTTGATGGTAACTAACAGCAACAAGTTAAGTACTACAATCACAGCACACTCGTATTCCTACTGAAATGTTCATAGCATGAGAGGCATGAAGGAAGTGAACTGAGACCAAATCAGAGGACAGCAGAGTTACACGGTCCCCTCAACTATAATCATGGAAAAAATATTAGTGAAAATAATTGCTTGAGCCATCTAATTGTATTCTCTTCACATAAATGCACATAGGATGTGACTCCACTGACCGACTTTGTGCTGTCATTTAACTCTTTTAAATGGATAAGCAAAGCAAGAGTTGCTGGAGTATATGAAAAGTACTCAGGACTCCAAAATCAGTTCCTTGGTGAACAAGATTGTCTGATCAATTCCTTGGTATACAAGATGCTCCATGATTTGGTTCCTGCCAACCTCTACAATTCCATTTTATCCCACTGCTTTCTATACTCTAACTCTACTGTAATTTCTAGCTTCTATAAGTACAACATATTACTTCGTACCTCCTCCCTATAGTGTCCCTTTCCAACTTATCCAGCAAATCTTCACCCTGAATGCTCATTTCAGATGTTTCCTCTTCAGTGACAGATTTGAGAAGTGAAATAAGAATGGGTTAATGCCCTCATTCTTCACCTCTTCCTGGATCCCTGCCCTTTGCTATGGACATTTTCAGTGTCTACCCACTCTGACTCTGAGCTTGACCTGACTTGCTTTGACCAAAGTGACACATGTGACACAAGCTGGAGCTTGAAAAGTGATCAAGAGATTGGGCTTCTCTTGCTTGTCTTCTGCAACTGCTGGGAGAACATCCCTCGGATAGCTTTCTGGAGAATAAGAGAAATGCATGCTGTCCCAGTCATCCCAGCCAACACAATAAAAATCAACCAATTTCAAGCTGACCCCAGATGACTGTGTAGCCCCAGCCAACATCAGCAAAGTTTTCTAGATAACCCATACTTGATGACAAACACAGCTGAGCCTTGCCCAGATCAGTTGAACCCCAAGACTCATGAACATAATATTTATAGTTGAATGCCACTGAAGTTGTGTTGTGGTTTGTTATGTAGTATTAATTATAGCAATAGATAAGTGACACATCTTCTACAAAGACTTTCTTCCCCCCCAAAAGTGACCACTCCTTTATCTGTACAACCTCCAAATCTTGTACCTTTCTCTACTGCAACAATGAACCCTTTCATGATTGAATTGTTTTCTGTTTTGATTTTTTTTTGTTGATACCATGTGCTTTCAATAATCAATGAACAAAAAATTGAGGTAATAAGGATTTTGATACAATTATGTAGGACACTATGTCCCAAGTGTACTGTGGTGGTAGGATTGGTGGGGTGAGGCCGGTTTCTTCAGATTCATACAGTTCTACAGGCCCTCCCCAGGCAGTAGCCCATACAACAACTGGTAGAAAAGCTTTCCAAGAAACCTGCTGCTGTTGTTGTTATGTGCCATCGAGTCAGACCCCTCCTTGGGTTTCCAAGGCAGTATTACTACGGAAGTAGATTGCTCCATCTTCCTTCCGAGGAGTGGCTGGTGGGTTTGAACCACCAGGCTTCTGGTTAGCAGTCAAGTGCCTTGGGCACTATGCTACCAAAGGCTGAATATGTTGGTGGACAATATATGCTCCAAGGGTCATGAAAGGGTTAACACATTCTACCATCACAAATATTTGCTGAATGAATAAGTACATGATGTTTTTAAATAGTTCTCCTACTAAGACTTACCTTCTTGGAAACAGGAACATTATTGTAAGGGAAGTGAGTTGGCATAATTTAGGTATACCTGGTTTTGAATCATGGCTCTACTAATGGCATATAACCTGAGCCTGCTTTCTTAACTGTAAAATAAGGACAGTAGCAGCAATTTTGCAGGATTCTTGAGAAAATGAAATAAGGAAATCTGTATAAAGTAGCCAGTTTAATGCAAGACACATCAAAGAGCTCAATACATATTACTTAGTTGAATGAATTAAAGAACTGATACCCCATGGCAAAATTCTTAGAATGAGTACACCAAAAATGCAAGGCCCTTTATTATACCATCAATTCCTAACATTACACTGGCTGCCCAGAGCCTTCATTAGCCTCTAATTCAATTTATGACTATGGAAGCTGATGTTTCAATTTACTGAACCCAACCATGTAATAAATAGAAGTTCCTCAGAGGACCTTCTTTGCAACTTAATGTCAGCATGGTAGTTAAATGCAGTTTATTTAATCTTTCATCTGAAACAAAAGTTGCAGTTCATTGCTTATAAATCTGCTCTCCCTTCAACCCTTCTGAGAAATACATTCTTGGCTTTCACTTATTGCCTACTCTTGGGTAGGCTAAGTAGCCTTGCTGATGGGCTAGGCTTCTGCACAATTAAGAGGCATGCACTTACCTCTCTGGAGGCAGGTTGCTGTCTTCCACAGTAGCTGCAAGAGCAAGAGGCAGAGTTAAAAAGATGCATCAGCAGCAGCTGGGAAAAGTAAATTATGCTTGTGCGACAACCTGACCCCAGAGACATAGTACTGAGTGGCGGCTCACCTGTACCACAAAGCTCCTCCCTCTACCCCCTCTTTCCCAATGAGAGTGTCTTGGAGAGCTGCATTGCAAACCTCACCTACACTGGAGGAAAAAAAAAAATTGCTGTCGAGTCAGTGCCAACTCACTGAAACCCCATGTGTCTCAGAGTAGAACTCTCCATAGAGTTTTTAATGGTTATAAACATGTGGACTCATGCTGATGCAATGTGTGAAAACCATAGGGTTTTCTTGGCTGTAATCTTTATAGAACAGATTGGTAGGCCTTTCTGCTGCAGTGCTTCTGGTGGGTTCAAATGCCAAGCTTTAGGTTCATAGTTGAGTGCAATCATTTGTGCCACCCAGGCTCCTTCACTCATACTACATTGTGTTTATTTGTGGGTACAGTCTCTTGCATTAGATTTTGAGCTTTTTGAGGACCAAAACCTCAACAGGATTTATCTCTTAATCTCTCATTTCCATCACAGAGCTGGCCTCAACGTGTGTGTTTGAATTCATGGTAACATCAAAGGTTTATTGAGTGCTTAAGTGCCAAGAACTATTTAAACACTTTCTATGCTTCATCTTATTCAATCTTCACAATAATCCTGTGAGTTCTATGGCATTATTATAGATAAGGAAAATGATTCTCAGTGAGAACATACCCAAACTTAAATAGTTAATGAGGGAAGGAGTTTGGATTTACAAAATCCATTTTATCACTAATCACTTAATACTTTGTTCTATGCTGACAACCACCTTATCTTTCAGAGAGGTGGTTTAAGCTCTGAATTACATAATATTTATAAAAATCATACCTAGCCTTCTTTGATATGGAGATGGCCATATTAGTAAATTATACCTATAAGAGATCCACTTCTCCATACAGAATTTTCTATATGATAAGATTTAAGATGACTTTTAGTAGTGGTTCTCAAAGTGGAGTCCATGGACCAACAGCATCAGCACCCCTAGGAACTTGCTACCAGTAACTAGTTGCCTTCAAGTCAATTCTGACTCATGGTGAACCCATGAGTTTTAGAGCAGAACTGCACTCCACGGGGCTATGATCAGACTGGGAAATCTACTTCCATAGGGATACTGCCTTGGAGACCCAAAGAGGGGTCATTATGAGTTGGATCCAACTCAATGGCAGTGAGTTTGGTTTGGATTTGGTAGGCTTTACTTTCAAGGTGCCCCTGAGTGGATTCAAACTTTTTGGTTATTAGCCAAATGTTTAGACATTTGTGCCACATAAGGACTCCTGAGAACTTGCTGTTGTTGTTGTTGTTGTGTGCCGTCGAGTCAGACCCGACTCATAGCGACTCATAGCGACCCCTCCTTGGGTTTCTGAGGCAGTATCACTACGGAAGTAGATTGCCCTGTCTTCCTTCCGAGGAGTGGCTGGTGGGTTTGAACCACCAGCCTTCTGATTAGCAGTCAAGTGCCTTAGGCACTACGCTATCAGAGCTAGAAAAGCAAATTCTCAGGCTCCTAATCCAGACCAACTGAATCAGAAACTCTGGGGGTACAGCCATAAACCTATTTCAACAAGTCCTCTAGGTGATTCTGATATGTGCTAAAGTCTGAGAAGCACTGAGTTATAGAAATTTAACCATGAGGTTGCCCAAAGCAATCAAGGACTGCTCTCTCAGTATCTGGCCACTGCAAAACAAATGTCAGCATAGCACTTCATGGCATCTCAAAGGGCATGTTCCCCTCCCTCATGTTTCATTAGAGTGAACATAAACAAAGGCATTGAAACTATCAACAGGATCAGACTGTGGTTGAGGTGGTGAGGGGATGAGAAGGTGGTTCTTTAAATAATAGAGGAAAACACAAAATGGCACAGAAAAATAGCCCTCAAGAATGATTCATTTCCTGGAAAGGACCAGAAGGGACAAGTTTCCCTTCAATTAAAGTCTGAAAGCAGATCACAGAGCCTAAGAGTACCCAGATAACAATCTCAGGTCAAGTTCACACTAACTTTCCGTTCTTTTCTCTCCCTTGCCCTTCCTTCTTCACAAGCTGTGTTCAGAACACAGGCTTTACAGAAAATACAAAGGTTCACTGCCTCCTTGCTCCGTGACTTTTCATTTTCTTCATTTTGGCCAGATGCCCAGTGATCAAATGCATTGCTCTCAGGAGAAGCAGGCTGGCTCAGCAGTGATAAGGGGCCAATTTCTGCAGATTTGTCATTTCCTGGGCAAGCTGCCACTGCCTCCACTGAGAACAAGCAGTGATGGATGTCTAGCCCTGTGGAAAAGCAGGAGCTGCATTGTCACCTGGGAGTTAATGCGGAGAGGGAGGTGGGAGGTAACATGAGGGATGCAGGCACTGACACCGTGACTTCTGCCTGGTTATGTGCAGGGCCCTGTGCGATTCCTTACCTTCCCTGTGGGTCTTGGAAATAGCAGTTGCTTGCTTCTGGAAGGCCTGGAGGTTCACAGCTGGGGGCTTAGTGGGCTTTGGGGGCGGAGGACCCAGGGACTTGACAGAAGGCAAGGGCTTCGTTTTGGGAAGCTGGTGGTGCTTGACATTGTGCTGCTTTTCTGAACAAGACAGTAAGCCATGTAGGTTACTATTATTTCCATTTCATGAATTGTCAGGGAAAGCTGACTGGTTTCCTTGCCTCAGCCCTACTCCCAATCTATTCTCCATCCAGCAACCAGAGTGATCTGACCCAAATGCAAACCTGATCATGTCCCTGATGCCCAGAGGAAGAAGCTAGATTTTCTCCACCTAACACCCATTCACTCCATACTCTAGTGTTTAAACACTACACTGCCCAACCTGTTTCCAGTTTATTTTCTCACCACACTTATATCCTATATCCCCAATCTTACACCCAAACATCTCTCACTCAAACCTCTGGTAGTGATCCAGATTTGATTTGATTTTTAAAAAACAGATTTAATTTTTAAAAAAGTTCTCATATATCCAAATTTTTGTTCATGCCATTCCTGGGTCTGGAATGCTGTTCCCACTCTTCTCTCCTGTCAAAGTTTGGCTCATTCTTTAAAGCCCAACTCCAGTAATACCTTCTCTAGGAAGCTTCTCTAGATTTCCACCAGAAATCAAGGCCAGAATTACCCACTTTCTCCTCTCTATTCTCACAGCACATTGTTAAAATGTCTGCATCGGTATTACAGCATATTAGTGGTGATGGCATTTGTTCTAAGTAAATATGGGCTCCTTGTGGGCAGGACTATTGACTTCCTCCCAGCAGCAAGCAAAGGGCCTATGTCAGAGGAGATGCACTGTAAATGTTCACTGAAAGGGTTATCAAGCACTTATGAATGAAAATACCATGGGATCTAGAAAGAGAAGGAAGAATTTCTCTTTGATTTCCAAGGCTCAGGCTAAGGTGAGTTTTACGGCAACTGGGCACCTATGGATATTATATAATAGACTTTTCTTCTTCTGCATAAATAAACCAAACTCCTATATATTTTAGGATATATATATATATATATATATATATATATATATAAATCATATCTGTTTCTTACACTAGGAAAAACACAAAAATCATCTACAATCCAATTGCCATGGTTTTATACTTACATAGTTTAGTGATTGACCACATGGGTCATCCATGCTAAAACTAAAACCAATAATCTGTATGGCTTCCTCCAGAGCCTTCTGTTCTCTACAATCTAAGAGGGGAGGGGAAACTTCCTTCCTATCCTACTAGCAGGTGGCTATAGCCCCAGACATTCAATCAGGCTTCCCCAAGTCCCTTACAATTTCAGTCTTTAAATTATCAAAGAGAAGGCATTGTGAAGATGAATTTCTATTTACTAATTCAGTTCCTAATTTTTGCCAGGTCTTGTGTTAAGCATTTTGCATGAGTTTTCTTATTTAATCCTCTCAATAGCTGCATCTAACAAAGAAACTCCACTCTTCCTTCTTTCTTTCCTTCTAGCCATCTTTCCATCTTTCTTTCTCTCCTTCCCATTCCTTCATCAACAATTACTTATCTACTATGTCTCAGGTATTGTTCTAGGAGACAGAACTGAGAACATGAAGAGATATAGCCCACCTCTCAGAAAATTTCATTCTAATAGGAAGAGACTGGTGATAGATAAACAAACAAATAAATAATTAGAGATTGATTAGTTTTCTGGAGAAAATAAAAACAGGATGATTTGAAAGAGTGTGCACTGGTGATGGTAAGGCAGTGCTCTTTAGACAGAGACATTAGAGAAGATTTATCTTAGAAAAGTGTCAGTTGAAGTTTGACTTAAATGCAGCCATGCAAAGATCAAAGAAGGGTGCAAAAGGAAGAGGGAATAGTAATTGCAAAAGCTTATGTAAAACATACAAGACGCATAAAAACAATACATAGCAATATGCCAGATAGAGAAAGCAGATATAAAGGAAACTAAAGCAATACAAGAAGATAGAGTGATGGGGGAGGTGTAGCTATTTCAGACAGAATAATCAATAAGGTTAGCTTAGAGCAGATACACTTGATCAGAGACTTTGATTAAATGAGAGGCAGAGACATTTAAAGACCTGGGGTAAGTTACATCAGAGGGACAGGCAAGTGCAAAGACCCTGGGATGAAGCCAGCTTGGTCTATCTGAGAAACAGCAAAAAGGATAAGGTGGTGATGATAAGAGAGGTAGGCAAGGGCAAAATTGCCTGACCTACTTTGAGCACAGGAATGATACAATTGGATTTACACTTTAGAAGGATCACTCTGCTTGCTAGAAGGAGAACAGATTAGGCAACAAGAGTGGAAGCAGGGTTAACAGTGTTTCAGAGATCCAAGTGAGAGATGGTGGTGGCTTGAATAAGAACACAGGGCAGAGAAGGACAAAAGAGAAGAAATTCAGAATATGTTTTGGTGTTTGAACTAAGATCGGATGGATTGGATGCAAATAATGAGGGAGAGGAAAAAATAGAAGAAGACTCCCAGGTATTTGACCTCAGCAACTAGAAGGATGGTTGTGTCACTTACCAAGACACAGAATATTGAAGAAGGATCAGATTTACAGGAGAAGTTATGCAGATTGCTTGAGTTAATACAGTTTGTAAGAATTAAAATTGGATTCAAAACCAAGTTTGCCTTCCCCTCATTACAAAGCCCATGATCTTTGTATTCTCCCAAAGTATCTCTCAATGTAACACCCAGAGATGAAATACCTTTCCCAATCTGAAATTACAATTTAGCAGATGGAATGGAGTTTGCACATAAGTGACCACCTTAAGTCAATAGGCTTTGAATGAGAAAAAACAGTGAGCCCTCCATCAGTCTGATGGGGTTATATTTCATACCTGTGACCTGGCTGGTATCCTCACACTCATCAATAGGTGTGGAGGCGCTCACTGCTGGTATCCTCTCAGGTCTGGGATTCTCTAGGATCTTCCTGTTGTGTTGTGAAAGTAGAAAAGAAGAATCTTCATAAGAGGCAAGTGATTTTTTGGGGGCCATCAAGTGCTTCTTGGAAAGAAGAGTCTGAGTTTCATTTGTTTCCAGCTGCTTCTTTGGCTGCTCTAGAGAACACCCCATGCTTTTTTGCTCTTCCAGATGGGAGGCCCTACCTCCATGATTAGCAAGGAGGATGGCTGATGACACCTCACTTTTCTGAGATGAAAATTTCTCCCAGTTCCAAAGCTTGTCTCTGAAGCTATTGGTCACCATGACTTTTTCCTTGTCAGTTATCTCATTTGATTGATTGATTTCTGACAGCAGAGAGGTCACCTGTGAATTTATGGCAGACCCAGAAGACCCTTCCAGAGGTGCTGGGGAATCAGAATATTTCTGAACTTTGCTGCTCTGGGCCAGCTTCATTTTCTGAAGTGTAAGAGGCTGAGGATCACCACTGGAACAATATGATGAGGGCTTATTCTGGTGGGATGAGAGGGGTTTTCCATTGGCCAAAACTTGGGTTGACTGTATGCTTGTGATATAATCCTTTTGAGAAATACCTGCTGGGAATTTAACGGGTCCTGGAAGAAGTGGAGCATCAAGTGTGTTTTGAAATTTGGCTCGAAGTTCCTTGAAGTTTTTTACTCTTTCCTAAAGCATAAAATAAAACAAAAGTGTTCCATTATTCCTGAAAAAAGCCAGCATGATTAGCTGACTTCTGTGTGTGTGTTAACAGACTCTAAGTGCCAATGTAACATGATCACTTATCTATTGGACAACATTAGCCAGTAACACTCTCACCTTTGTGACCTGGAATGAAAATCATCTCTCCTTTGAAAGATTTCAAACAGGTTTAATTTCTTCATAACATAGGACATTACACAGGAGATAGTATTAACAATCACTGATCAACTCCATGATACAACCTTTGGATGACCCCCACTGCCAATAAAAATAAATTCCAAGCCCCTTAGTATGGCACTCAAGATCCTTCAAAGTGTGGTCCCAGTCTAAAGTACTAGCTCAAAAGATGGAATTATAATTCCCAACCATAGCCCAACACCAAAGTAAAAAAAAAAAAAAAAATTTCATGGTTGTCTAGTCAATTCCAACTCATCATGACTCCACGTGTTATAGTGTAGAACTGAGCTCCACAGGGTTTTCTTGGAAGATCACCAGACCTTTCTTTTGCAGCACTGTTGGGTAGGTTTGAACCACTAACCTCTTGGTTAGTAGCAAAGAGAAAATGGTTTATGATCACTAGGGACTTATAGTTTAACAAAACTACTCTTAAACCAATTGAACTGGTTACAGTGTTCCTAGAAACCACACACTCTCCACTATCTTGATTTTGTTTATGTGTTCTTGCTTCACAAAATGCACCTCCATCTACTTGTCATCTGCTTTCTTGCACTTCAATGCCCACTTTCTCCATCAAGATTTCCTTAAGCATGGCAGGCAGTGCTAACTCCTCTCCTATCTCCTTGGTGTTGTCATAGCTCTTTATTTATATGTTGGCTGTTGTACTTAACACTATGGAGTGGAAAAAGAACAAACTTTAGAACTAGACATAGCTAGGTTCAAATCCTGACTCCACTATTTACCATGTAGGCAAATACACTGGGAAACTCTACCTTGCCTCTAAGTGAAGCTTCACCATAAAAAATAAGTTGTCCAGTGGTAAAAGGATTAGGCTACAACATTTGTAAAGTTTCTATCACAGTGTGTGACATATAGTAAGGCTATCATGAATGGAAACTATTGATAAGAGCCTAGGTGATTTTCTTGTGTTTTCAACTTGGGGAACGCAATTCAAATTCAGTATATGAAAAAGAGGGTAACAGGAACTTCCAGCAAGATGGCAGAATAGGCAGACAAGCTACCAAGATCCTCCACAACAAAGGAGAAACCAGATGAAGCAATCAGACTTTAAAAGAGTTGAAAAGGCAAATAGATGACTCCACAGTCATAGTGGGAGACTTTAATACACAACTTTCAATGAAAGATAGAAAAACTGGAAAGAAACTCAACAAAGATGCAGAAGAGCTAAACAGTACAATCCACCAACTTGACCTTATAGACATCTACAGAGCACTTCACCCAACAGCAGCACAATATACATCTTTTCCAGTGCACACGGAACATTTTCCATGATAGACCATATGTTAAGCCATAAAGCAAGCCTTAATACATTTAAAAACATTGAAATACTGCAAAGCATCTTCTTGGATCATAACCCTATCAAATTAGAAATCAACAATAGGAAGATCAATGGAAAAAGAGTAAACACATGGAATCTGAGCAACACCTTCCTTAAGAAAGACTGGGTAAGAGAAGAAATAAAAATTGAAATTCAAAAATTCCTTGAATCAAACAATAATGAAAACACAACATACCAAAATCTTTGGGACACAGCAAAAACAGTGATCAGAGGCCAATTTATAGCAATAAATGCACACATTAAAAAAAAAAAAAAAGAGCCAAAATCAACACTTTAAACCAACATATCCAACAATTAGAAAAAGAACAGCAGGAAAGCATATAGTCATCACCAGAAGAAAGGAAATAATAAAGATTCAAGCAGAAATTAATGAAACAGAGGATAGAAAGACAATAGAAAAAATCAACAAG